CCAGTGTCAATTCATTTAACTACAAGCATCTGCCGGAAAAACCCGTGCCGTTAGCGACAAAAACCCGCGGGTAACTATGCAAAAAACGCCTCTCTACGTCGGTAGCTGGTGCGCCGGCCAATTATTGAATCGATGATCAAAAACAACGGAGAAATCCCTCAATATTTTTCCGTTTCAACAAAATTTTTCACTAAGCAGATATTGATGGAAAAAAGACCAACTTTTTCAGCCAATCCATAATCGGGGTCCATTTTGATTGCTTCCCAACTTCCCAGACCGTACCGGTAGACACCCTTCAGCAGTGCCACATCATCCTCGATTTCCCACTGCACGTCCCAACCTTTCTGTATCTTCGGATGGCCAGGAATTTGCAGCAGCCTCACGTCGCCAGCACTTTTTACAAGTTCATTTAACGGCACCAGGTCTGCCTGCATTTTCAGCAGTGGCCGAACATACACGTCTATTGTACCAAATTTGAAAACTGCGCCACGATCCTGAAGAAAAATTTAACCAATTTTTACAAAATTTCACTGCATTTATCCCATGTGAAAGGCAGGGAGAGCCTAGAAAGCAGCAAGACCAAAGCACAAAGCAGCCTGCTGGTGTTTTTGATTCCATGTAAGACATGTTATTTAAACGAATTCGTTGTCTTACTACCAGAAAATCTGAACTGAACAACCAAATATTTGGCATGGAAGCAACCACACTTTCAAAAAGCTGCAGAGGGGAATTCAGAAAAATTCGAAAAAAGTGAGGGAAACAGTACCCGACATCTGATGAGGGTAAATCTGAAAGCTTCGCCTGTACCCAAAATGGCGCCCTCTTTTACCTCAAGAAATACATTTCGCTATTTCCCGCCTCATTTGTAATAAAAATCTGGTATTTCTAGCAGTTTAGTGATTAACTGAGACTTCTGGACGAATCTACCCTTGATTTAATGCAAAATCCCATTTCAACGAGATTCTGAGGCCTTTTTAGCAAAACTTTGCGCCTGCTTGTCTAATTTTCAAA